GTCATAAGCCCCCCTGCACTTACTGTATCATTCACAAATATACGAAGTGTGATACCGAAACGCGATGCATTCTCTTCCTATCTTTACGGCACTGATACTGACATCGCGATTCTTACTGAGACATGGCTGAAACCTGATATTAAAAATAAAGAAATCTTTAATAATGGTTCTGAGTTTAACTTCTATCGTCGAGCCAAACCGGACAGGCGAGGTGGTGGCGTGCTGATTGCCGTTAAAAAACAGATTCCTTCATACGAGATTCCAAATGATTGTAGTTTAGAGATAATCTGGGTTAGCTTTTATTCCTCATTCCAAAAGAACATCCTGGGTGTGTGTTATCGCCCCCCTGACAGTGGCCCCGAATTTATCAACATACTTCATGATCAACTCTATGCCCTACACCAGGCCTTTCCAAACGCGAACCTGTTTTTATTTGGTGACTTCAACTTTCCACTTATTGATTGGTCCACTCAAACTTCACATGGTCAGCAGGAAATAAACTTCCTGGATGTATGTCAAAACTTTAACCTGGTACAAATTGTGAATGAACCGACACGTGGCGACAATATTTTGGACTTAGTTCTTACATCAAATCCCGAGTCTGTTCCTTCATTGTCACTTTTTACCGGTTTCAGTGATCATAAGTTGATCAATGTCAGCATTATTCCTCATACCGATATGGAGCGAGCAATGACTAAGCAAATTCGTGATTATAACAAAGCCGACTTTCCCTCAATTAACGAAGCACTTTCTCTCTTTTTTCCATTTTATGCTGATGGATTTCAAAATAGAACTGTTGAAGAAAACTGGCACCTGTTTAAGACCAAAATATGTGAAGTAATCGATGCATTTGTCCCATTAGTCCACATTCACTCCAATAGCAACCAACCATGGTTCAATAAATCCCTTGAAATCCTAAGCCGAAAAAAGAAAAGACTATTTCGCCTTGCTAAACGGTCAAATGTTCCTGAGGCGTGGGCAAACTATAAAAATTGCGAGATAGAATACGACTCCACTATTATCCTGGCCAAAGGAAAATATTCCGGCTCCGACTTACCCTCCATTATAACTAACAACCTCAAAAAATTCTGGAAAATAATATCACCGCAGGAATCTCACCAGGTTATTTCCTTATCCGATAATACCGGGAACCCTGTAGCTGATGCTCTCTGTCCCTCCGTTTTTAACGAATTCCTCGCATCAATATTTACTAGAGAGGACCAATCGAACGTTCCACCTGTGGCAGATTTTGATTACCCATTCATGAATCCCATTTCTATCACAAGTTCCGGTATTAGTCAACTTATAAGTAAACTTGATATATCCATGTTGTCTGGTGCTGATAACATCTGTTCTAAAATCCTTGAAAATACCAGTGGAATTTCTTCGCAGATACTGTGCCTTTTATTTCAACAATCTTTGTCTTCTTGTTCCATTCCTGAGGACTGGAAAATTGGGAAGATCGGTCCAGTCTTTAAGTCTGGCAATAAATCATCTGTAGCTAACTATCGCCCCATATCCTTAACCAGTGTCGTGTCAAAATTGTTAGAACATATAGTATTTTCCCATTCCATACGACATCTTGAAAGCAACAACTTCTTTTACAAGTACCAATATGGATTTCGGAAGGGCTACTCATGCGAAGCACAACTGCTCGAGTTCACCCACGATATTCAACTAACATGGACTCCGGCTCTCAAACCGTCGCTATTTTCCTAGACTTCTATGAAGCATTTGACCGGGTACCCCACTGTCGCCTAATATCCAAACTTTCTGCTCTAAACCTGGATTCCCTCATGCTCTCTTGGTTACGTAACTTTTTAACCCTTAGACAGCAATTTACTGTGGTTGGCAACTTTCACTCTACGACTACCGATGTAACCTCTGGTGTCCCACAGGGCACAGTCCTTGGGCCCCTTCTTTTTCTGATTTACATTAACGATCTTCCAAACACCGTGTCATCTACAATCCGGCTTTTCGCTGACGATTGTGTGTTGTATAGAAAAATTAACAACCAAACTGACCATGACATCCTACAAAGTGATATTAACAAGGTCCTCGACTGGTGTGTAAAATGGGAAATGCAACTAAACGTAAATAAATGTAATCTGGTTTCATTCACTAGGAAACGCTCAGTCTCATCTTTTTGTTATGCCCTAAATAACGCTCCTCTACCTGCTGTCTCATCTTACAAGTACCTCGGCGTGCATCTGACCTCGAATCTGTCTTGGGTTACCCACATTAACATTACAACTGCTGAATCGTCACGTACTCTCGGGTACCTAAAGCGAAACCTAAAAGCCGCACCCGGGCATCTACGCCATCTAGCCTATGATACCTACGTACGCCAAAACTAGAATACGCTTCACCTATCTGGAATCCTCATCAGAAGTACTTAATTAACCAGTTAGAATCTGTCCAAAACCGTGCCGCCCGATTCATATCATCATCTTATTCCCGATTTGCCAGCATCTCCCTTCTTAAGCGAAATAACTCTATTCATCCCCTCGAGACTCGTCGACTAATTGCACTTCTTTGCTTACTTCATCGGTTGCATTATAACCCCGGTCTTTCCAGCCCATCACTTTTGGAACCACCGAATAGAGTGTCACATCGTCAAAATAACAGCAAAAGCTTTAAAAGCATTTTTGGTTCAACGTTATTATTTAATAACTCAGCACTTCCTCAAGCCATCAAACACTGGAACGGTCTTCCCGACAACATTGTCACCATATCTGATGCAAAAATGTTTCGCAGCGCACTTACTAACTTCTTTCTCATCCCAGGCTAGTATGCAAGCTGACATTCTTCGGTGCTCCGTTATTATTAGCATTGTATTATGTTATTTTGTCCCAAAGTGTTTCCCATGACTGATTTAACTACTTTTAGTTATTGTCCTGTGCTTATTGTCGTCATTTGTCGCACATCATTATGTTCTAATTTCAGTTATTCTTTTGTTTCAATGTTTTTGCGTTGTACTATATGCCTTTGTTGGAAAATAACCCCCCCTCATGTAATGCCCACCGGGCCTTTGAGGTATTTTGAATAAATAAATAAATAAATAAATCCTCCGGCTCAGTCACACCAGCCGTCGTCGTACCACTGCGTACCACCCGCAGACGAACGGGCTGACGGAGCGACTCAACAAGACAATCGCCGACATGATTTCTATGTACGTCGACGTAGAGCACAATACGTGGGACCAGGTGCTGCCCTACGTCACGTTCGCCTACAATACGGCGGTTCAAGAGACCACTGGATTCACACCTTTCCAGCTCGTACATGGTCGGAATGTAACAACTATGCTAGTAACAACTATTTCGACCACACAAGATCCCCAGGTGGTCGAAATTAATCCTCAGTCCTCCGCTGGGGCGTGCCAGATGCCCGTCGTAGGTTTGGCACGTAAAACCCCCAAATTTGACTTTTTTGACGCCGTGCTGCCCCATGAGCCATCTGACAATGAGAGCGACGACGCCCAGGTGGTTCCTCAACGGGCCGAAGAAGTCCGCCAGCTCGCCCGACTCCTCATTCAAGACCAGCAACGTGTCGACGCGGGCCGCTACAACCTTCGTCGTCGGGACGTCCAATTCCAGCCCGGAGACATGGTGTGGGTCTAGACACCGATTCGCCGTCGGGGTCTCAGCGAGAAACTCCCTGAAGCGCTGCTTTGGACCCTATAAAGTGCTTCGTCGACTCGGGGATCTGAACTACGAGGTGATGCCCGACGGAACACGGACTTCGTCACGCCGCCCTCCACGACCGGAAGTCGTCCACGTCGTGCGCCTCAAGGCGTACTACGATCGATAGTACTGTGAATTGTCTTTTGTAATACGATCGATAAAATTGTGTTGTACAAGTGTACGTAGTTTGCCGTTCCTTTTTTTTTTTTGCTGTTTTTATGTTCCGGCACGTCGCATCGAGACGACGCGCTTCTGAAGGGGGGGGGGGGGGGGGGGGGGGACTAATGCCACGCGCGTCGGCGAGCCAGCGCGTGCGCGGCCGAGTGCTTACCGCGCTTGACTGTCGCGCGGAGGGTGTAAGTTCGATTCCCCCAGTCAGCGGACTGTCCTTTTATTTATTCTTTCAACTTGGCCTTCTAGTAAGCTCGAGAACAGTCTCGTCTGATCGAGTTCCGGATGTTCTACGCACCGAAAGTTCTACGCGGAACAATCCAGAAACCCACGAGGGTAGATAAAGGGATGCCACAAGGCGAGCGGAGTCAGTTTCGCCCCTGCGTTCGATTCTGCTGTCACGCCGACTTTGACGCCCGCGACGCTCTGCTTTATTATGTTCCCTTTTTATTTTTGGCACAAGTTTGCCCCATTAAACGTTTAGTTTCTCCAGTTACTATCGCCTCGTCACTTGTCATTCGTGACAGTATTGTCCCATGACGTCATGACATTACGTGACTCACGGTGCCACCCGACGTCATTAAATCGCGTGGTGTCACACTGCACCGTGACTTGACATGACAGTGTCACGTCATGGTGTAAGCTGACGACAGGTACGAGGTGGTGCGATGCGCGGCGCTACGTCAGAGTTGTGCCAACCGGCGTGAGGTCAGAGGCGTGACGTCGATGTGGGAACTTTTGGAGAAATGCCAAAAATGGCCCGCGTCCACATGGAGCGCGGGCGACGGAGCAGTGCCCGCGAAGTGTCCAGCTAACTGCTACCGCAGCAAAAAAAAAAAAATATATATATATAAATAAATAAATGAATAAAAAAATGTCGTGCGACTATTAGCGACACTTCATGTCGCAAAGCACTAACCACTACCCACCTGCCCTACAAGCTAATCGATGTAAAACGTGACTGCGGATGTGCGTCTTATTAATTCCGTGTTTCTCCTTCTCTCTCTCTCTCTCTCTCTCAGACACACACATACACACTTTTATATATATATATATATATATTCCCTGCACACAGCCGAAATGACACCGAAGGCATGCCGGTCACACTGCTCCTAGAGTCCTGCTGCGTCAATTTTAGGGCTGATGTTACAACCATAAATATATTTTAACCGCGAAAGCAGACCTTTGAGGAGTGGGGGTTAAAATTTGTATTATCAGTTCAAAATGCCGTTGCAATGAAAGGGGACATATATATTATTTTCTTTCCTTGCAGTCTGCATGGTGTTTCTTACCTATAGAGTTGCAACCCAGCCACAGAACTGTAGTGCGTTTCTTCGACGGCCTTTGGGCGACCTGTTGTACCGGATGTGAAGCAAAGGGCGATTAGGTCCTTTTCAACGTCGATCTCAGAGATTTCAGTAAAAGTTTCTTGCTTTATGTTTTTGAAATCCGTCACCGAAATGTATCCAGGATTTTCACCCACGACAAAGTATTTCTGAAAATTAATGAAAATGGTAGCGAACGAATAAGCATTTTATTAATGCACAACTATGGACAAACTAATCTGTAGAAATTATTGACAGTCACCATTAATTGGTCAATTTATGAAAGGAAAAATCGCTTTCTTGACAGATTTCTGGTTCGTATAACCATACCTTCGAAAACAAAGAACCATTAGTGACATCAACTTTATAATTAAGAAAGTTTTAGCAAAGTTATCTCGCTAACTTACATGGAGAATTGATTAAAGTTTACAAACAATTTCGGAACTCGTTTTTGTTTTTGTATTTTTGTTTTTTTTATACGAGGAAATCTGTTAAATTGAATTATGCACATTGAGCATTTACAAATGCGTGAATGTACCAAGAGTTTTCCTTTTCTTTTCTATTTGCACCAAAATTTAAAAAAAAAAATCAAACTTTGGTTAGGTGTCCTTTTTTTGTCTGGGAGCTACGAGGCCAAAATAACATCTACACCACTTCAGACACAAGGTATAAGTCAAGCTCAACTTTCCGATTCGCTCAGAACCTCTTTTTGCTCATGTCCAGCCCCGTAAATCTTTCTGGATTGATGAAATTTTTCGTATTTAAGTAGAAAATAAATGCACATAGAAGCATCCAACGATAGATAAACGGTATATAAAAAAAAATCGAGATTATTTTTCTGGTAAAGGTTTCATTTAAATCATCATTGTAAAACTGGTCTGATTTAGACCAGAATTTAAATAATGATGTAAATCACTATTTGAATAATTGATTTTTATTCTCCACCCTGGATACATACCCGAATTTGCAAGTCTCGAGTTAAACTCTTCAATAGGTTTGCTTCTTCTTCTGTGGTGAGCACGTGAGTGGCGTTTCCAGCTTCTATTTTCTTCAGAACTTCATCTGCAAGAAGTTTATGAATAGTGAAAATTTCTCCAGAAAAAGAGCTGCACACGAAAATGCAACACTCCATGAATAGGATCCAAAAATGTGTAAAAAAAACTGCTCAGATTCAAGGCATCTTTACCCGATTCTTGCATTCTGGAGAAATAATCAAAATGCGTTTATACCATATTCCCCATATTCTGATAAGATGGTATTGATTACGCCTTTACAAATGAAGCTTCCACATTTTTAGCCGTTATCATAACATGAAAATAAACATTCTTCAGGCCAAATAAAAAAAATGCTGAATTCGCGGCTTAATGAATGACGGTTGCAGCTACATTACATGTTTAAACTAAGAATCCAGCGTCGTTAGAACTGTAAGCACTCGATTTTCTTTTTGATGTGACTACTTTATGAGTGACGGTGGCTGAGTCAAGGTGCGGTTAACTGTGTTTATTATAGCGAAAGAAAGGCGTTTAGTCAAAACCAGCACAGAGAATCTTCTGCGTGGCGGGGGGTGGCGGTGATCCGCCGCTGCTTATGTTTCATCCAGGAGAGAGACGGGAGAGGGAAACTCCGCCGGGCCCCGCTTGCGAAATCGGGGGTGTCGGGTTGCTCTCCGTCGGTCGAGGAACATGGCTCGTACCGCTGGCTCGTACGGCGCGTACGTAGCACTCCTCCACCCTTAGTTTACATTAAGTGGTTTGAAAGCGCGAAGGCTTCCGTCTCGGACGAGTTGACCTTCTTGGCATTGGCATGTCTGGCGCCTCGGGAATGCCGACGTCGTCCATCCATGTGTCGTTCTCAGAAGTTGGTGTTTCCATTTCCGGAATCTTCAGCCTGATCTGGTCGGCGTGTCGGACAACATCGCCGTCTGGTGTAGTAACAATTGCCATGCGCGCTCTCTTCGTCTCCTTTACGACTCCCAAAATCCAACGGAAATCCGATCCGTAGTTGCGGATAAACACGGTTCTTCCTGGTTGAAGTCGTTTGTCAGCGGTGATCTGAAGTTGTTGTTCTTCCTTTTCCTCCAGCCGCGCGGGGTTAATGAAGTCCAATGTCGAACGTATCTGACGTCCTACCATGAGTTCTGCCGGAGATTTTCCTGACGTGCTGTTGGGTGTTCGCCTGTATGAAAGCGATTAGCGGTCCAGCTTTGTGTGTAGGTCTTTACCAGAAATCTTTTTCAGAGCCGACTTTACCGTTCGCACAGCCCGTTCGGCGAGTCCATTCGACTGTGGGTGATATGGTGCAGTTCGAACGAGACGCACGCCGTTCTGGGATGTGAAATCTTTAAAGGGTTGTCCGGTGAAGGGAGTGCCATTGTCCGAAACGATACAGTATGGTACTCCAAAACGAGCAAAGAATCCTCGCATTACTTCTACGGTCTTTTCTGAAGTAGCATTTCTCACCGGAACAGCCTCAATCCACTTAGAGTAGCTGTCTACTAAAATGAGCAGCATTTGTTCGTCGACTGGCCCCGCATAGTCGATATGGATTCTTGACCAGGGTATGGTCGCTGCTGGCCACGACAGTGGCTCCCTTGAGGACGGCATAGGTTGCGCTTGCTGGCACTGATAACAGTCGCGGGCCATGTTCTCGATGTCGCGATCCATGTTTGGCCACCAACAGAGCGATCTGGCCATGGACTTCATCGCAGCCATGCCCGAGTGGGCGTCATGTAGCTCCAGCAGCACTGCTCGCCTTGCCTATCGTGGAATTGCCACGCTTCTCAACCACACCACAAGTCCTTCCTCCACCGACATCTCCGCTCTACGGGTCCAGAAGGGTTCGAGAGTGGGATCTTGTGGCTGAATTCGCCATCCTTCCAGGATAGTCGTTCGAAGTTTACTCAACTCCGTGTCCGCAGCTGTCAAATTCGCGAGTTGTTTCACCGAAAGTGGTCCTGTTTCCAGTTGCTTCACGAAGGCCACTTGCTCTGGGCTTGTCGGTGATTGACTTCCATCATTCATCGGAAGCCGGCTTAGCATGTCGGCGTTGCCGTTGCACTTCCCAGCCCTCTGGCGTATGTTGTACATGTATCCACCAAATGTCAGAGCCCACCTCTGGATCCTGCTAGCCGCTGTTGCTGGAATAGCTTTGTCTTCCCTGAAGAGTCCAACAAGGGGTTTGTGGTCTGTCACCAGTGTGAATTGTCTCCCCAGGAGATAATCTCTGAATTTGGTGACACCAAAGATCAAGGCAAGAGCTTCTTTTTCGAGATGCGAGTAGTTCTTTTCAACGGGCGATAAGGTCCTGGAGCGGAACGCAATCGGCCTCGTGACGCGATCGATCAGGTGAGAAAGCACCGCTGCCACTCCATACGGCGACGCATCGCACTCCAGCAGTACTTCTTTCGATGGGTCGAAATGAGCACAAAATCCGCAGTTCTGGATTGCGTTCTTTGCTTCCTGAAACGCTGTTTCTTGGGTCGTGTCCCACTGCCACTTCACATTCAGTTTGAGTAGGTCGTACAAGGGGTTGAGCATGGTTGGCATGCGGGGAATGAAGCTCCTATAATACGGGAAGAATCCAAGGAACGACCTTAGCTCTTGCACATTTCTTGGTGTTGAGGCTTCTTTAATGGCCTTTAGCTTCTGTTCTTCAGGATGTAGCCCATCACGGTCAATTCGGTGTCCAAGGTAGGTTACCTCTTGTCTCCGGAATTCGCACTTGTCTTCTCGAAGACGAACACCGCTGCTGTGCAGTTTCTGGAGTACTTTCTCCAATTGTCGCCCAAATTCTCCCTTGCGTTCTGCCACCAGAATGTCATCGAGGAACACCTGCGTCCCCGGAAGGTCGCGTAGGAGTGCTTCCATCCTGCGCTGAAATATCGCCGGGGCCGAGGCGATTCCATAGGGCAGTCTGTTGTAGCAGTAGAGTCCACGATGCGTGTTTATCACTGCCACCTTCTTTGATCACTCATCGAGGGGAACCTCTTGGTACGCATCCTTCAGGTTCAATTTCGAGAAGCATTCTCCGCCATTCAGTGATGCGAACAAGTCCTCGATTCTTGGAAGAGGGTACTGTTCAATGTCGCTGGCGGGGTTTAGTGTGACCTTAAAGTCCCCACAGATTCTCACGAAACCGTCTTTTTTCATCACCGGCACGATGGGAGTCGCCCATTCAGAATGTGTCACCGGCGACAGGATTCCTTCTTGGCAAAGACGGTCGAGCTCAGCTGAAACCTTGTCTCGCAGCGCGTAGGGAAGAGATCTTGCCTTGAAGAATCTTGGTCTTGCATCTTGGCGAAGGTGCAGGTGCACTGGTGGTCCCTCCATTTGGCATATTCCAGGCTTGAACAACTCGCCAAACTTCGTCTTGAGTTCGGAGACCCGGTCTTCCGCCTCGGCGAAGTTGATCTTCTGGAGTAGACGTAGCGCTCCAATTACGTCGCGGCCGCACAGACTCGGTCCATTGCAGTCCAAGACGTAGACTGACGCCTTTGCAATCTGTCCTTCGTGTTCCACTGTCATGTGGAGAACTCCTTTAACTTGTAGGGCTCCCAGGTAGCACGATGGCTTCGCCTGACAAGAGGTCATTTTAGGCCATGACTGATGGTGTTGTTGGTAAACACTCACCGAAATGAGTGATACTGGGGAACTGGTGTCGACCCCCATGTTGACAGGAATTCCGTTCCAACTCAGCGGAATGGTCCATGGCTTGTGCATCGGCAGCTCAGTGACGCTGTTGATCGCGCGAAGATCCAATTCCTCTGCGGGGGCCGATTGTGCAGCAGCGATGACGTTGGCCTGACCATGGCGTGCCGAACCACTTGCCTGAGTGCGCGACTTGCACGCCCTTGCGAGATGTCCCATTTTTCCGCACTTAAAGCAGGCAGTTGACATAAAAGGACACTTTTTTGGGTCGTGGTCGTTGTTGCCACATCGTCCGCACTTCTTGTGCTGATGCCCTTGAGACTGGGGTGCTTTGTTTCGGGGGAAGCGTCCCACATGCTTATTCTTCACAGCTCGTTCGCTCACCTTGTTGACTTGGGGATGATTCGAGCCTTCTCCTTTCAAGTCCGATGCATTCTTGCTAGCGGTCTCGACCGCCAGTGCTATGCGCGTTGCTTTTTCCAAAGTCAGCGCTGACTCTGCCAGCAGTCTCTTCTGCACTCCTACATCGCGCACACCACACACGAATCGATCCCGGATCATAACGTCAAGGGTGTCGCCGAAGTTGCAGAACTCGGTGAGTTTCCGGAGAGCTGCCAGAAATTCCGAAATGGTTTCCTCCTCTTGCTGGGAACGGCTATTGACCTTATACCGTTCCATTACTTCGGATGGTCTCGGTGAAAAGTGTTGGTTGAGGGTCGCAGGAGCTCCTCGAACGTCTTTGTGCTTGGCTTCATGGGAGTCAATAAACTTTGAAATAACCCGTAGGTCTTCGGTCCTACGCAAGACAGACAGATCCCGGTCTTCTGCTTGTTGTCGATAATCCGATTACCCACGCGAAGAACTGCTCCAAGCGTTCTGCGTAGTTCGCCCATGGCTCCACCTCCGCGTCGTACGCTGGGGCGGTGCCGATAGTCGCCACCTTTCTTTCACTTGAGAGTTCTTTCCGAGAAGAAATCACAAACCGTCGGGACTTGCTTTGTCAGATGTTGGGCATCTGGATGAGGGCTTCGATATCGTTGTTCTCGTCGCCATTGATGTGACTACTTTATGATTGACGGTGGCTGAGTCAAGGTGGGATTAACTGTGTTTATTATAGCGGAGGAACGGCGTCTAGTCAAAACCAGCACAGAGCATCTTCTGCGTGCCAGGGAGCCGGGGAGCGGCGGTGATCCGCCGCTGCTTATGTTTCAGCCAGGAGAGAGACGGGAGAGGGAAACTCCGCCGGGCCCCGCTTGCAAAATCGGGGGTGTCGGGTTGCTCTCCGCCGATCCGGGAACATGGCTCGTACCGCTGGCTCGTACGGCGCGTACGTAGCACTGTTTTAAGTTCCATGTGATGGGAAAGAGATATGCATTCTCTGAAGAGTCAAAATTGTTATCCCCTGAGAAAATGAAACGTACAGAATGCTCACCGTCCGATGGCTATAGTTCTAAATAACGATTTTCCAAATTGTATATATTTATTATAGAAAAATGCAAAAGTTCCAGGGTGCGTTTGTATATTTTTTATTTGGAGAAGGTTGGCATTTTGTGCGTCCGGACAAGAATAATAATCATCAAAGAGACTTGTTCTTTTTTCTTAAAGTAATGCTGGAATCAACGGTTTGTATAGACATCAAAACCATTCCCATCCTGAGCGTAACAATGAAGGACTCAACCGGCGTACCTTGATCTGATCCCGGCTCAGACGGTATGACGACTCCTCCAGCAAACACAATTCCATACATAGCAATAAAAGTGTCCACCGAATCGTCCACGTGCACGAGTACCTTGTCTCCCGGCTTTATGCCATGACTCTGGAAACCAGCTCCGTATTTTTGCAGCATCTTGAGCATCTCTAAATACGTCACCTCATTCTCTCTGCAGATCTAGAGTGATACAATGGTGAGTAATCACAAATTCTGTTACCCAGAATACATCCTTTCTGAAATTCAGTCTGGAAACATTGACGCTATCAAAATCTAAGTGTATTGGATTTGTGCCAAACAAATGGCGGCCTCCTTAAGGCTCATGAGGAAAGAAGTAGAAGATATATACTGTCAAGCGGAGGACATACGAGGCCTGCACTTTCGCGACGACAGAACGACACGACGCACAAATTAGTTACAATGGCAGCGTAACCATTTATTTCGGAGTGTGATTCAATCAATCTCATTACACAAGTTTGGCTTTAAGGCCTTTTGACGTCGAAAATGTAGTCGAGGGGCTTATAGATCGCCGCTTTGTACTGGTCAGTTCTTATGTTCACACCATCGAAACTGAAACAAACGAAGAAAGAATTATGAGGTCATCGAAGAACTCAATCTCATCTGCCATCGGCGTGCGAAAGTGACGGTGACTGATTAAATACAGTTGCATGGCCGCCATTAGTTTGTCGAAAGTGAAGCTGCATTTTGAGCCACCAGGTGGCACTGAATTTCGAAAAGGGTTTATTGCAGGAAGCATACTCTGCGTGGGCCTATCATACGCTCACTATGGTTATATTTAGAATCTTATACGTTCGTTAGGTATGCTACCTAACGACCGCCATCGTTTTCCTTTTTTTGCTTTATCACTTTTGAAGTTGTTACAGCCTCAATTATCTGTTCAATGTGCAAGTTCTTGTTCAGTATAATCTGCTACAGGCAAGGAAAACCAGGACTGGATTCTCCCGGAAAGCCTGCTACCCTTTCCACCTTAACGAGCAAACGCTGGAAGCAAGGCGAGTTCACTCACGTGCTCTCCTGCGTTCACTCTGGAGTTGAGGGCTCTGTGGGAGGTTCTTGTTCTGCGTTTCTTTACCTGCAGCAGAGTATATACCACTGGTGGCCAAACCGCGACTCGCGAGCCGCATGCGGCTCTTCGCTGGTCCAAGTGCGGTTCGCTAATCCCTCGTAAGGCCCTCCCTCCCTTCCCCTTCCCCACCACCGCTCCCCTTTCGCCCTTTACGCATTTCCCAGGAATTTCAGAATAAAGAACAGCTTGCGGTTTGGCAGCCTTATGCCCCCTACGTACAGTCGAACCGCTTTTCACTCGTATGCTTCCACAGGTCCTGTTTTTTCATTGTTCGAAGGAGTTTGCCGGACCCTAGGGGGAAAGGCATCAAGGACAGGGACTGTCAAACCATCCATGGACTTTGGCTTGGGGTCGAGGAAATGTTCAGTCTCACGGCCTTTGTCACTCGCCGGTGATACTTGTCCGCTTTAGATAAAGAATGTTCCCTATTGTTCCTTTTTTGAAGGCCGCAGAAGCCCGAGTTAACATACCCCCCCCCCCCCCCCCCCCCCCGCGGCTCATACAAGCTTCTTGGTTTTGTTTGCGGCTCATAGGCCGGGTCAACCTGGCCACCCCTGGTATATACCTTAACCCGGGTCGATACACCCGCTGTTATGTTGTTGTTTTGTTGGTCTCGCTTATCGACGCTAGCGAGGGCGTCGCTGTCAGCCTGCTACGTCAGCGGCGCGTACTGCGATGATTGAACCGACAAAAGCGGCTGCTCCTAGCAGCTCGGGGCTCTTCTTTGTCCTGCTGCCGAGATGCAATAAACGCAGTCAGACCAACTTCAGTTTCCGTCCCGGTGGGCTGCCCGGAGACGTAACACCGCTACCACAATGACAGGCGGTCTGCCAACTTGTCGACACACACTATGTATTTGTTTTGTCCCCTGGGACGGTACATCTGGGGGGCACTACACGTGACACTTCGGTGTGTTGCGTCCCAAAAAACACTGGCTTAGCGCAAAGTCGAGGTGTGCTGCTCCTTATTGGATGACACTCAACAAGAAGCAACACGTTCGAAATGAGTTTACATAACGTTCGAATTGTTTGACTTTTGAATTGGGCATGTTGCAGGCTCTTGGAGAATTTTATTAATTTGTTTTATCAATTAAATTTTCTGCGAAAACCGTCATGAAGAACCGTCACGAAAGACTGCTACATCATGACGTCATGCGGTACTATGATGTCAAATGGCACTCCAACGTCATCTGACGAGGTATTGCCACGATGTCACGTGACGCCATGATTTCGCGTGATATTGTCATAAAATCTCTGAACGAATGAATATCTAGACACTGCAAACAACGAGACACACGTTACACGTCCTTTGTCTGTCCCCCGCCGACATGATAACCTAACGACAAAGTATCCTTTTTTCCCGACGGCTGGATACTTTTAAATAGACGGACAATGACGAAGGTAAAGTACAAGAGGACGACCCGATATGTGAAGCTCGGAGCAATAAGTTGATTATCTACAAAATGTTTAGCTGGGCTTGTTGGTTCATGACTGGAAATGAGCGCCAAAGGAACGGGGACAGGTGAAGTGGACGCCCCGTGTTGTCCTCCACTTCTTCACCTGTCCCCGTTCCTGTGGCGCTCATTTCCAGTTTTGATTATTTTTTTACCGTTACTTTCCATCGCAACAATATTATGAGGTGACGCCATGTTATTCCATGACGTCACGTGACATCAAGGTGATACTGGGATGTCACGCGACAGTGTGAATATAATTGGGACCTTGGTCATAGGGTGTCACGGGACACCCTGATGTACGCTACATCCTGTGACTGAAGTTCACATAAATTACTACGCTGTCACCAGACACCTGGTGTCACGTAACACCCTGATGTCACATGATACCGTATCGTCGTGGTGTCACGCTATATCATAGCTTCCCGTGACAGCAGACGTCGTGTGACGTCGCAGTCATGTGACCTTGTGACGTAACAAGCACAGGGTGTGCCCAGTTCATTCATAACACATCCTGTGAGCATGATACGGCTAGTCTACTTCTTGCTTGGGTCTATATATTGTTAGGAAGGGGAAGACGACGACGGGGCAGTGGCGCGCACGACCATCTCGCGCCAGGCCCCACGGGCCGGCTCGGCCTCCATAAATATTTTGTCTGTTCTATCTATTGTCTGTCCTTTCTGCTGCCGACAGCATCACCCACCGCTCATTCACACTGGAAGCGGATCCGCGTTCGCAAAGCGGTTGCGAACGCGGTTGTATAAAGATCCAGTACAATTGCACGCGCACTTGATGTCATCGAGTGCGCGTGCAATTGCACTGGACTGGATCAACCGCGTTCGCAACCGCTTTGCGAACGCGGATCCGCTTCCAGTGTGAATAGAGAGTTTTAGTAGATCGTTCCGATACCTCCGATAGCCCCGATAACGATATTATGGATGCGCAAGGGAGGCGGTGGCGGAGTATCGGGATATCGTTATCGGAGTCATGGGAACGATCTACTAAAACTCTCTAATGAGCGGTAACAGTATGGTGGAGGTGCGGAGCAATACTCATCTTCTTCATTGAACGTCAGCACCGCGCATCAAGAACCGACAAAGGGACCCTCCTCTTTTCAGTGACTCACAACGACACCACGTACGAAGTTGGCGATCAAGTTATTCTCGCCACACCAATTCGTAAGCAAGGAAAATGCGAAACGTTTCTCCACAAATACGTCGGCCCATTTCGTATACTTCGCCGCATCTCTTCTACATCCTACGAAATAGAGCCCATCGCACCTCCCCGGGATCATCGCACTAAATCACGTGATATTGTTCATATATCACGAATGAAACGTTACCATGCACCCCACCTCTGAAGACGCCAGTGCCGGTGGCCGCCCCTTCTACCGCCGGGGGAAGTTTTGAACAGAAGACGACGAGGGGCCGAGAGAGGATTGTCAAGCCCGTGCACTTGGCTCGGTTCAGTGGCTACTCAGAGCATTGCTCTGTGTATGGCAGCGAATCATCACTCTTTATCACCCTCACAGGTGGTGGAGGTGCTTTAAGTTCCTCGACCTCTCCGCTCCATAGCCCCATTCTGGAGTTGCGAATTACACGCCTTCTTCCGGCCATGTCCCAAGAGAGAGGCAATTCCAACGGCCAGTGGTTCCAACGGGCAACTATCTGCTGGTTCAACGCCGTCAGTACCCCGCACCTCCACCACCAGTGAGGGTGATAAAGAGTGATTTAATGGCGTAGGTGATTCGCTGCCATACATGAGCAATGCTATGAGTAGCCACTGAACCGAGCCAAGTGCACGCGCTTGACAATCCTCTCTCGGCCCCTCGTCGTCTTCTGTCCAACAATATTAACATTGTGCTCTCATTGTCGGAAGATAATCATTATTCAGTTAGCTGCGTTCAGAACCCGCACACTTGAGATGCTTTAAGGTAGGCCTAGTAAGCCGTTTTAGTAACCGCGCCACTCTCCGACTTCACCTTCCCTCTCTCAATGAATTACTCGTTGAAAGCATTTGGCATCCCCGGCCATTATAAGCGTTTCAGTAAAAACAGCGCTTATGTTACGTTTGTTGCTTCCGTCATAGAAAAGACGTTAGCGGGGTGCATCAGCGATAGGCCACAGAAGAGCATTGTTTGCACGCTAACTTTTCTGATCTAATAAGGGATAAGGAAATATAATAAGATGAGAAAATATAATAAGAGCTCCAATGCCCGCGTCAAAGTGAAATGAGCTACAGGTGAGTATAATTGCACTTCATGTAGTATTGTGTGCAATAATCACCAATATTTCGAGCAATGCGCGCAATAAATTTAACTAAAATACTCACCAATGCGGTTCTTTCCCCATATTGCTCTAGTCTCTCTCTCAAAGCCTCGTACACTGACATATTCGGCACAGGACCCCCGGGATACGGAGAATGTACAATGCCATCTTCGATGCGGGCTTTCAGGTACATTTTTCTTATCGGAAAGTGTTCCCCTGTTAATCCCGCCTCCGTAATCTGAACTGAAAAGGAAGTCCAAATTCAAGGCATCTTTGACTGAGAACGCTTCACAAGTACTAATAGAAAGAAAAACTAGTCGGTCGTATAAATACACTTACTTGCGTTTAATTTTACGCAACGTCGGTGAAAATTATTTATATTCTGAAAAGTGCAAACAGAACACAATCAATTCCGTGCACGGCAAAAAAAAAAGCACACACTCACACACACATACATACACACACACGCACAAAGCTTGTTCTTTTTGCGGTGATGTTTTGGCGCGTGCGTACGTATCGAGTGAGGGCATTAACCATGCATACGAAACGGCGAAGGTTTTGACAAGCTAGCAGAGCGTGACAGTGGCTGTCCGTATTCACGCGATGAGCATGCTTAAAGCCTCTGTTCAATGACGCAAGCAGGGTAGCATTCCCCCCGGCAGAAAAATAACAAAAACGAATACTTTAAAGCAGAAAGGAACCGAACAGAACCACAGTTGCACCATAGAGTATCAATCGCCAATGTCCCGCCAAGTCACCCATATCTAAACCTGTTATACAAGTTGACTCCAGTTCTTTCTCAACTGAAGGGTCAGTAAGCTTTTCGCTTACTCAAAAAACCGGAGGAAAACCTCAACTTCCTCTACAGCGAATGCCATGCATGTCATCTGCCGTGTCCTGTTTGAAAAGCTCTAAAGCCGGACACAAATATAAAACATTCTAGTTGTCATTTTCAAGGTACTATTTTTTTCGACCAAGGTAACATGGCCGACGAAGTGAAACAAATATTAAAACGAACGTAACTTTAAGGTTTCTTTAAAAGTAAACCTGGAAACGAGAAGACATCGGGCGATGTGTTTGTGCGTGAAAATGCCTGAAACATGCATCCAAAAGCAAAGGTCAGCTTCATGGCGGAAGCGTTGGAGTGTGTGCAAAAATAGAACTCACGTCTGCGAAGTCTGGGAATGCGTATACATATACAATTTATTTTCAACTGGCGGCATGACCGAATTATATAATATGGCGGGTTTTAGAATAAAGTATCCAAAGGCTTTGCGTACGCAAAAAAATAGCATCGCCGTCATTCCTGAATCCAAAACGCGGTTTGGGCTTGGCGCATGCGCAGTGGTGACGACGCAATTTCTTTGCATACGCAAAGCTCTGGCTTACGCTATTCTAAATCTCGCTATCCTTCGTGTGTAAACCATGCGAACTCTTCCTGTGGCATTGTTGATTAACAACTTAGCGGTATCACATTCTCTCACCTCTTGAAACACCTCGGATATTCTAGGTATTGTTGTGTGCTCTGCTTAGGCTAAATCCTTTGAAAGAATTAAAAATAGAAAGATTATACGGAGGTTGGAAAGTAAGTTCTGTACAACGAAATCCTTGAAATGGTGTCTTTGTATTGTAAATTTATCATATATAACGTGTTTGTTCTTTTGGTTGGAAACTGCATTTTAATTTCCTGCTGACAGTAATATTGCATAGTCAAAATGTTAAAACAAATTGTTTTTTTTTTGTGTCTAGTTAGGTTGTGGCCACGCTCACACCGACGCAGGGGCAACTCCCGAGATATCATTTCTCCGTTGACTCCAACGGCTTCTGAGAGTTTCGGAATACGATACTCGACTCAGGTGCTGCGTCGTTGGCGGATATTGCCGTACGCTGGCATCCGTTCCGCGCAATATCCAGACTGCATAACGTTGGATTAAATTCGCAGGGTCTCTTATGTTATCGCTAAGATGACTTGAAGGCGAAAGCCCAAGCGTCGATGTAAATGTGATAGCGAACATTCGCAGACACGAAGACAGCCTGCTTTCTGACGACACACTTTTGGCGCCGTTTCATTGGTACCTTTAGTTTTCGTACTTTTCGTGTCGCCGACGTGGTTTCGTACTCTTTGTGTCGTCGACGTATTTTCGCTCAAGGAATTTGAAGGTCGACTGAACGATCAGACATATAAGGCTTTTGCCTTAATAAGCTCATTGGTCGCCATTGCACCGCGGATAGTTCTGTCTCGTCTGGTTGCCGTACTGCCTCGCGATTTCACCGCTTCACGCCCCACCGCGAGATAACCCTACACACGAGGGTATAAAATAATGCGGCGCAAGGCTCCACAGAGAGACTTTACAACAGAACGACCCGAGACTACGAAGACTGCTCGTCGTCTTCAGCCCTACCTTATGTAAATAAAAAGTTAGTATTCTTACCAATTGTTCCAGACCAATTTAACTTCGAGTCTGGAACAATCCTAGACGTACGTTACAAGTTTAACGTCGTTTACACTGAACTAGAAAATGAGTCAAAGGGAACAATGACTGTTTGAACGGATGTCAAAAATCGGTTTTTAAACATATAAAGATAAACTTTTGTACAAAGGTGGCCGGAAGACCTGCATTAGAAGTATAGATATTTCGCTGAACAGCCTTACCTAAGTAAAGAAACTAGAAATGAAAAAAATTTAAATTCCTGCCTACAGTTGCCATGTGCTTACTAAAAGTGTCTGATTAGCGAAACAGTCGACAGATGTCAGCAGTACTCTCCAGGTCGACGGGAGGCGCCGAGTACCAGATTTTTCTGCTATACCTTCGGTGATGACACCACTTTTGTCGGGGGGCTTGTTTTGAATGTTTCCCTCCTCGTTGAAGCGCCTCACCCAGCGTAGAATTGTAGGGGAGCCCAGAGGTTGCCACCGAAACTCCGCCCGAAAACCTTGGCGGACCTTTTTGGTCGTGTGGCACTCCCCGTACCAGAGAGCACCATTCAATCGCTCGTTGGGAGCTAAGCGCACCCTGAAAATGATTTGCACCGACAAAGAGCACGGGCGAAAGTTGCAGAGAAGAAGACTCATTAAACAACCAGAGAGTGCAGAGCACACGACGACATGCAACGAAAAATAATTATCGAAAAAAAAAAAAAACCAGCGAGGTAGCACCTCTGACGATATTAATCCCTGGAGAAGGGGAACAATGGGGACAAAGGACAAACACAGATTTCCAAACACAGCTACGTGACTGGTGCGCGACCGAAAAAGTCCGCCTTGCCCAGGACTCAAACCAGTAACCTTCCCACTTTTGCATTAATTGCATTATCATAATAACCTTAAAATGCAGGCCGTTCACCCTTGTAGGTTTTCTTCTGGTGCTAGCTAATAAAACCCGTTTTCTACACTGACGCCTAACTCCTTTTTAGCTTAGTTGGTAGAGCGCTCCAATGGAAATGGAAAGGTGTCTAGTCCAAGACCAGGAGCAGGTCGTTTTTTTTCGGTCTCGCACATGTCACGTAGCTGTTTTTTCATATTTGTATTTGCGCTTCGTATCCCTTGTTCCCCTTCTCCAGGGATTATTATCGCCATTCCTGTTCTGCTTGCTTGCGCCTTTGCATTAATTGCATTATCATCATAACCTTAAAATGCAGACCATTCACCCTTGTTGGTGTTAGACTGTTGGCAGCTGATAAAACCCATTTGCTCTACTAACGCCTAACTCCTGGTCAACTCAGTTGATAGAGCCATAGCCTTTTTTATACTCACAAAGCCTGGCAGTTCGACAACGGAGCCATAGAGTGCCCGGTCGCAGATTTGGAGCGCGAGGATCTGGTAGCATAGAACATCAAAGATCCATTTCTCGGGAAACCTGCACGTCAGCGCACAGCTTTTGCAGTGGCGAGGTCCGGAAACAGTTTTGTTCGCTCGTGAGAAGTGTGCTTCGGCGTCTCGCCGCAGCGGGGCGCCAGTCACGTGGCTCTCCTCTCATCCGTTGTCTGCCGCTCCTCCTTTTTTATTTCGGCGGCCGCTTCTCGTGGCGATCTGCCAGTCTTTGTCAGTATATAGGAGGTTTTGGTTGAGCGCTTTATTGGTAATGCAGAGGTCCCTGGTTCAAAATAATAACCAGGCAGAATTTTTTGGTCGCGCTCCTGCCACATAGCTGTGTTTGGAGATTTGTGTTTGTCCTTAGTCCCCCCTTGTTCTTCTCGAGGGTTTATTATCGTCATTCCTGTCCAGCTCGCTTGCACCTTTGCAGTAATTGCATTTTAACAGCAAATCTGTTTTGTTGTTCTTGTTTTATTTTAATTTTTCGCGTTTTATTGCAAGAATAAATTAGTCATACGCTGACAATTCGTGAAGAGAAAGTGCGCATCGCTTCTGGCTCAGAAACGTGGTCTGCTATCGCCGAGGTGGCCGAAAGCACCTGTGGTGGCCGCACGCGATCTTACGTGCCGCCATGTATTGACTGTTGCGCCAATCAGGCCCTTGAATTAGCAGACGGTCGCCGTAGGTAGAGAATTCAAGTTCTTAATTGATAACTTTTTACTCACGTAAGCTTGTTCGGTGAAATTTGTGTTCCCTTAATGCACCTTTTTCGGCCACTCTTGTGTAAAATCTTAGCTCGACACGTTCAGAAACCGATTTATGTTGTACCTTCAAACAGTCATGGATCCTTTTAACTCGTCCTGTAGAATGGTCTATTTTGAATCCATGTATTGGGTTGTCGCTTAATTCTTTATCAGTGTTTTTCAGAATAAAGAAGTATGTGTGTGTCATTCGCTCATACAATTATATGTGTTGTAAGAAGACTCTTTGAAGTGTCATTTATGCTTTCATTTAATAAAAAGGGCCAAAATAGACACCTGAAAGACACCGTATATTTTTTTACCCATGTTTGACTTCGCGCCAGTTAATATATCCGGATCATAAAGAATTTAATCACTATCATTTTATGTGCTCGGGTGAATTTCCTCAACTTTTGTATTTAAAGTTTTCTGAATAGAACAGGATGCTTCATCGAACAGTTTCTTTTTTTTATATCAAGAAACATGACTTTGTTTCTAATTTTCACTCGATATTAAGGTCAGAAGTTCGTACTGTTGTTCGCCTATAACACTGGTTAACTTGACGTAATTTTCAAATCGGTCGTGCATAGTTTGCTTTATGATTTCTGAAAACACTCGGTGAATCAAAATTGGTCCATA